TGATGAGGCAGGCTAACGCATATTTATAGCCAGCCCCTGTCCATTAAAGTGGGTGGGCCAAGCTTTGAAATGTGCCACCACCTAGTTTGACAAATTTACACCTTTAATGGGCAACACCTACGCATATGTGTGTATAGAATGTGCGTGTTCCTTCGATCAGGTGTCCTGGAACGAGTGTATTCGCTGGTAGCAGGATACTCATCTCCTGTTCCTGAATGCTTCTCTGTCTTACATGCAATTAAATATCAATATCTGTAATGTCTACTTGCAGTGATATAACTGATATGGAAGATGGGGGATTACCCTATTTGTGAGCGATTTGACCTTGTTGTTCGAAAAACTAGTTAGGGACAATCCTTCAAGTTATGTAATGTAGTCCAATGGAAAACGTAATTCACTTTATGGTATAATCGCATCAGAAAATGTTTGTTTTTCGGAATGCGTTACTTTCCGTAATGCAGTGGTGTTACTTTGGTTGTTACTACATTTAATGAACGTTACTGTGAAGCTTGAAAAACTAACAAGTGTAAAATCCAAATTATCGTATAGGAGGATTTTTCTGAAACATAAAAGAAATAGAAGTTGTTTGCTATTGCGGAGAGCAAACCTAGCGAGCTAATTCACCTGTTATGCTAATATCAGCTATATATATATACATTATGGGCATATAAACCCTGGAGCAAACAACAGTAAACACTGCAAACCATGTCTTAGTTTTAGTCGAATTAAGGTCCACACGTGGTTTTATTGTTGTTTGTGCTAGGATTTTTATGTCATTGATTATATGTTACTATACAGGAGTTTTTTTTTAATGAGGTCAGGCATTAACTAGCTAGAAGCGGATAATGCGCGTGATGTGTGTGCATACGGTGTATCAGTGCGAGGATATTGGTGGGGAGATCTACGTGATCCACAGATACTTACTAACTTTGTGTAAGCACAAACTGGAACAATTTTGTAATACGAATATATTATATAGTAAATTATATTAATATTATAGATCTTATAATCCTGGAGAAACCGCTTGTGTGTTAATAGCTGATGTTTGACCACTGCTGACAGTACTGCCTACTTCTAGCGTCAGATTGCTAAATGATTGTTATGGAAAATCAGCAATAAAAACGAGTAGAAATTCATTTCTAGCAACATTCACCTGGAGGATACCTTAAAGTTATCTAAGGTTATCATCATCGGTGTAGGGTTCCCTCTATCAGTACACGTTGTAAAACGCGAGCATGGTCCATGTCTAACACTACAGTTCATATTGATAGGTGTGACGTTTCGTTTATTAGCGTGCATACTGACGTAGTACAGGATGCAGACCTGTAGAATCGCAGATCGTCCGTTAACCGTGACCGTCGTCCGTCCGTCGTAGAGCGTACGGTGCGTCAACAGTTGGCAGCGAAAATCTTAACCCGTCGACGTAACGGTCACGATATTCGGGGTCGTTGGGGGGGACGTCAAAACGAGGTTGGATGTTGGTCGAAGTGGAGTCAAGAGGTTCAAGAGGTCAAGAGGTGTAAAAGAAGGGCGAACATTTCACGTCTTCCACTTAAGGTATAGGGAGGAAATGCTAGATTCGGGCAAATCAAACGGCTCGACCCTACGGCTTCGTGATAGTCGTGTATACGCATCATAGGCACGGAAAAGCCACACATGTGCTTAAATTGGAGGTCACAGTCAAAGGTCAATGAGGACCGGGCAATTTTAGGACATTTTCCTGAGCGGACACTGGTCTGACGGAGCGATCTGAAAAACTTTTTTTGTTTCACGCGGTGACCTAAGTCATTTTTATTGGCTTTATTGAGAAGGACCATGAAATGTCCGCTTCTGCCTGACATGCAAGAGTAAGTGTCGATAACTCTTTTGACCTCAAGAGGAGGGTTACACCATGTTTGTTCACTGTGCTGTTAGAAAGAATTTGACTGCCGGGGTTGCTAGTAGAACATCTATATCATGCCGATGTATGAGGCTTTACAATGTCACAGTGAAGATTTCAAATTTATGCTAAAATATTATAATTTCAAATTATAGCTCCTTAAATCGTATAATTTCTACTGGCATTCCTGATCCTGTCAGTATTTACATGTACGTATACCACTGCCAGTGGCCACGTGCCAGTGCATGTGGCGGTGATTAGCTAGCCTAGCTCGTGTAGTTTTGCCTGCATCTAATTGGTTACAGGTGGCCAGCTCTCGATGGCAGCCTGTAGCTTGCGTAGGTAAATGGATGAGTGCTTACGCTATTCGTCTTGCAACCTATATGTTCTACTACGTACGATGGGAGCATTCCATCTTTTAATGCTGAAGACACTTAACACGTACGCGCTCATCCTCGTGGCAACTTTCATTAACGATCCCCAACGACACATTCCCTTGAGAAGGTTCCTGCTACCATCCCTCGTGCATCCACGTTTCGGCGTGTATGTGAAACACATATTGGCTAACAGGTTTAACAGAACCACTACTCCCCACAGCTAGTCACCGGAGAGACTTAGATAGCGCTGCGCTCTGGTCGGCACTTGTTAATAACACGCGCCGTGTGATTCCATCATGGGCGTGTGCCTTATGTTGACGTAATGACAGGCTATTTCACATAGTTCACGATGAAAATACTATTCGTGTAGTTTATATAAGCCCAACCATGCACACCCTGTACGTGTCCTCTGACCAGTTTTAACTTTGACCTTGACCTTGACCTTGACCTTCATAATATTTCCCTTCCGCTCTATAACTCGGCCCCTAATTGACCTAGCGCGACCAAACTTCGTATACTTACACATCTCTTGGGGAGAGCACGGGGGATACATGTAGTTGGCAACAACTGCCCTTTCTAGTTTCTTAATGAGGGTCAGCATTATGCCTAGAAGCTGATATGCGTGATGTGTGTGGCATACTGTGTATAGTGCGAGGGATATTGGTGGGGAGATTCTACGTGATCCACGAGTACTTACTAACTTGTGTAAACAAACTTGACAATTTTGTAATGAATAAATTATAGTAAATTATATATAATATCATAATATATATATCCTGGAGAAACGCTGTGTGGTTAATAGATGATGTTTGACCACTGACAGTACGCCTACTTCTAGGACGTCAGATTTGCTAAATGATTGTTACGAAAATCAGCAATAAAAACGAGTAGAAATTCATTTCTACAACATTTCACTGTGAGGTTACCTTAAAGTTATGTAGGTTATCATCATGTGTAGGTCACCTCTATCAGTACACGGTTGTAAACCGAGCATGTCATGTTACACTACAGTTTATTATAGGTGTGGGTTATCGTGTATTATTAACACGGCCGTGTGATCCATCATGGCGTGTTGCCTTATGTTGTAGTAATGCAGGTAATTTCACATAGTTCACATGAAAAATACTATCGGGTAGTTATATAAGCCCAACCTGCACACACTGTTAGTGTCTCTGACCAGTTTTAACCGTTCACGTCCAAGTAATAATAAAACATTACTGTTTAGTGTTACGTACGCTGTTGACTCAAATACGTGGCTAAAAACTGATTTTACATCATTACCTAGTAGTGGAATTACATAGCTAGGGGCCCTAATATATTAACTGTGAGTGAGGGTAATTAAAAACAAATTGTGTGATCTGTAGAAGTAGATGTTGCGTACCAATCAATAGTTGAGAAAGTTGACACTAAAAAGGTGCTTTCTGCTCTGTACTGAACACGAAAATGGAGAAAGCCTTACCTTAGTAGCGGTCGCCCACACTGACTATTTTTTAGCAGGCGGATGGGTTGGCCCTCACCGCTTCACGGAAGGGTTTACACTAATAACTGTAGACCATTGTAATGCTATGAATTTTTAGCTCATCTGACATAGTCAGATGCAGCTTGTAGAATCGCATGATTGTGCGTCCGTCCGTGCGTGCGTGCGTCTGTCTGTGCGTCCGTCAACAGTTGGGCACAAATCTAAACGGCTCGACGTACGGATTCGAAAGTCGGGACGTAGGGGGTAATCCGAAAACGAGTTGGGATGGCGAAGCTTATGGCGGGTTAAAGGTCAAAGGTCAAGAGGTCTAAAAGAAGGGGGAACAAACATTCCCTCCTTAACTTAAGGTATAGGGAGGAAATGCAGAATTGCGGCACAAACCTAAACGGCTCGACCTATGCTCTTAATATTCGGTGTATAGTGTGATGGGCAGGAAACCCATCACCAGTGCAAAATTGGTGAAATTGAAAGGGCAGTTTCCATATCAGATATTTTCTGAGGACATGGCCTAACAGACAGAGTGAACAACTTTTTTTGTTTCAGCGCTGACCTACCATTTTTATCACTTTATTAAAAGGACCATGAAATGTGCTTTCCACTGACATGTGAAGAGTAAGTGTCTGATAACCTTTTGACCCTCAAGAGGAGGGTTAAACATGGATTCCTGAACTGCCTCAATGATGTCACAGTGTTCTCATATTCATGGCACATCCATAATCTAGAAAGCCAATAAGCCTGGATAGCCGAATGGGTACAGCACAGGATTACGGCTCAAAGGTCCTTGAATCGAATCCCATCAGATTTTTTATTATTTACCTGTTTTCTGTATTTTTCTATCTTTATCCATTTAACTATTTTTTTCCAATTAACGCAAATATTTACATGATTTCCTCAAGAGGAGGGTTAAACATGGATTCCTGAACTGCCTCAATGATGTCACAGTGTTCTCATATTCATGGCACATCCATAATCTAGAAAGCCAATGTCTGGATAGCCGAATGGGTACAGCACAGGATTACGGCTCAAAGGTCCTTGAATCGAATCCCATCAGATTTTTTATTATTTACCTGTTTTCTGTATTTTACTATTTTTTTCCAATTAACGCAAATATTTACATGATTGATTTACAACAATTTAATAACAACAAATAATTTTTACAATTAATTTTTTTTTTTAAATAGGGTTAGGGGTTAGGGTCACAATGCACCATAAAACAGGAGTTTCAGGCACGCGATTTGTATCAACCAATGGGATTTGGGAGGTATGCAGAATGCAGAAGGTTGCTGAAATGATGTGTACGCAACTGCGTATCTGCGCCTAACAAATGTGTCACTACGCACGACTGGAATTTTACGTTCATAACCGTAGCAACACACCTCAGATGAGCCCAGTCGCTCTGCGGCTCTTGTTAATCTTGATATGTGCATAATGCAGTGATAGGCAGTTGGAGCCTTCGCCCGTCACTGTAAACAACATGGTATAGCTCTAGCCATCTCGTCATGGTCGAATGACTAAAAGCCTGCCTGCCGCGCTATCACTGGGTCAGCGTTTTAATTCCTCGCGGCAGTACACTGTAACTGTAAGAATAGTTTTCCGCATAAGGCAAGAAGCAGGTTATGTGTTACCCGTACCGCGAGGTGATGCCTAGTGCTAATACGTGCAGTCCGGACAAATCGTGAATAATTAACTCATTTCAAACATGAGAAAAACTACATGTTTCATCATCAGCATAATATTATGTCACTTCTGATTATGTCGTATTGTATGTCAATAATGTCATTGTCCCACGTAATTGCACGCTATCTGTAGACAATTCAATTGCTATAAATGTGTTGACACGCTAAAGTGCCGCTGCTGCTGTGAACCAGCCAACTGGTTACTAGGTTGTTCGGAATCCAGGAAGTAAAGTTGAACGTACATACGTGTGTTTTGGTGGCAGTCATCTTCACCGTTTTCAAGCTCGGGGCTAACAGTGGCAGGCGGAATGTGTGGGCCTGCTGCTGTGCAGGAGAAATGAGAATGTGAGCGTCTCAGTAGAAATTCAGTCTAGTAGGAAACGTCAACGTAGAAGTACGACACACAGAAACATTCATCAGCACTTACCGGTCATTCGTTGTTTGCTGTACTCGTTGTGCAACGTGCAGAAAACCACCAGCTGTGTCAATTGAGTGACTGCGTGTTTTCGAGGTTTGGGTGCTAGCATTTCGTGTTCGGCAGTGTAGGCAGTGAATGTCTATTAAAAGGTAGAAGTGTGTTAAACCATAGGTCGGATTTCTTTATATTATTCTACATGTGTCTGCAAATATTGAGCGGAATGGATATGGTGTGGATAAAGACGGATACAGAGCCACCTCTGTATTGGCGTCCTTTAAGTGAAGAAGAGGTACTGTTATGTCTTATGTCTCATTTTATTATGTCTTCACGTGTACGTGTACAACTTCATGCAAAACATTTATGCTACCAATAAGAGTGCTTTATGTTCCAAGCACAATTGCCTATAATCAGTCATACACTGGTGATTTAGCATTTGAACATTGTATTATATAATACTGCAATAATTTTTATGCATTTCGTATGCTTTCTTAGCTCTTGCGCCTGGTTTGCATACCTGTTCAGATGCATACATCAGGCATCTATTATCTACTCGTTTGGCATTTTTGATGTTCCTGCAACTGTAAGAGCAGTGTGCTGTTGATGGATATGGCTGACCCAGGCCTGCAAATTATTTGTTTCATGTTAGTGCCTGCGCACTACACCAAGTTATGTTCATGTATACTCTCTGTCATCAACGAAGTGCGTGATTAATAGTTTATAATATTGACGTACACGTACTTAGACGGTTATGATTTTATTGTCATAAGCTCACTCTATGGTCTGAAGAAACTTTTTGATGGAAGTATTACATTGATGGAAACCTCGTGATTGGTTCAAGCTTCTGTTTCGGAAAGGGGCAAAAATTCCACTTTTCAAAAGCATCTTACAAATTAATGTGCAAAGACTTGCTTCCATGAAGTGTCAAACGAAAGTAAACAATAATCACATGGAAAGATGGTGACATTCCAGATTTACCAATTATATACCAATACCGATTTATATCACATACCAGGTTTTTTCAGATATAACTACATATATTTTTGAAACTTTAAATTCTTTAGGTTTTAAATTTTTTGGTATATATTTTAAGAATGTTTTGCAAGATATAATGATATCACCCCTACTACTGAAGCCTTAAAGTTTACTCATAATAGTTCACAAGTGTGAATCTCTTCGTGTCTACCTTACTGGGTGTTTAAGAGTGTAGACCTTTGGATTTAAAAGTTTTAAGTGGAAGAAAGTTGATAGCATCCTGTATGAGTAACTATCTGCATGCATTTGTTTGTTACAGATTGCTATAAAGGAGAACGAGCGAAAGCAGAGAAAGGAGGAAAGAGAAAAGCGGCAAGCTCTTATGGAGAAGATGGAACGTGAAAAGGCTGAAGAGTCACGACGGAAAGAGAGAGAGGTAAGCCAGAGATTCAAGCATTATTAAGTGGTAACTATTGTCAAGTTTAATTGTTCAATTATTGTTGCTGATTATTGTTAATTATTCTGTCTTCATTTATTATTATTTATTGTTGTTGTTGTTGTTGTTGTTGTTGTTGTTGTAATTGTTAATGATAATGATGTTGTTAGTTTCTTTATTGTTTTCCTATAACAATGATCCAACTATGTTAAAAAAATAATTCTGCTAAGAAAAAATACGTAGTTTTTTTGTCGTGATCTCAATGGCAAGTCTAGTGCTGTTCGTATTCACTACTACATACGAATTAAGCAATCTCCTAACCTGAGTCATGAATAACATGAAGAATTCTAATAACATTAACTTTGTATGTTGGTGAAGTTGTACGTGTTGTAAGCAAACTTGCAAGCAAGGCAGCTGATAATATCGAAAGAATGTTCATGTAATAAACATGAATGTATTAGCTACAGGCATCCCGCCCTCATGTCGCAACGTTGACATCTTTTAACAAAAGCTGGCATTCACGGGGCGAGGACGAACAGCTTAGCGATTGACGGTGATTGCGTTGTTGCTTACAGACAAGGCGCCGCAGTCGCAGCAAGAGTCGCAGTCGCAGTCGCAGCAGACGTAGACGCTGAGCGGGACTGCCATCGTCAGCACGTACATGCCCAGCAATGCTTGCAGTACGTCAGCGCGTAATGTATCGCTGTGCTCTGCCAACATGGATTCATGCTAGCCTACATGCGTGCCAGAATGGTGTGGGGTCCAGCCAATAGTGGATATGGCAGTGGTGCGACAGGTCGCATGATAGATACGTGACTGCCCCCGGCAGTGAGAAGCACAGAGGATCCGTGTTATCAAAATGACACTCGTAGTTTCTTCTAATATCTCGCAGTGAGGAAAGTGGGAGTCATTAGTTGCTGTAGAGTTCCTTCCCATTTGGAATTCAAAATTTGATTTGGTCATCTACTTGTGTTACTGTAGTTACTAGTGCCGCAAAGATTTTCGTGGAGCTGTTTGATGTTCTCCTCTGCCTTATCAAGTATTTAATTTACATGTGTACCCTACCCACTTTCCATTAGTTTACCAGCATTTAAATCGGGTGAGGTTTGTAAGGGATTATTCTCATTACCAACAAAAGTTTGAAAGATGAGTTTACTTCATGTATACACATGCAAAGTCAAATATTGTGTGTTATTTAGCAATTATTCGCCGAAGGCGTGGTGAATCTTGTTGAATATTCCCCGAGACGAAGTCGAGGGGATTATTCAACAAGATTCACCGAGCCTGAGGTAGCCAGCTGCCATTAAGTTGGGTGGGCCAGCTTTGAAATGTGCCACCAACTAGTTTGACAAATTTACACCTTTAATGGGAACACCTACGCATTATGTGTGTATAGAATGTGCGTGTTCCTTCGATCAGTGTCCTGGAACAAGTGTATTCCTGGTACAGGATACTCATTCCTGTTCTGAATGCTTTCTTGTATTACATCATTAAATGATCAATATCTGTAATGTCTACTTGCATGTATAACTGATATGGAAGATTGGGGGATTACCTATTTGTACGATTTACCTTTTGTTCGAAAAACTAGTTAGGGACACATCTCAAGTTATGTAATGGTAGTCAATGGGAAAACGTAATTCACTTTATGGTATATCGCATAGAAAATGTTGTTTTTGGAATGCGTTACTTTCGTAATGCAGTGTGTTACTTGGTTACTACATTTAATGAACGTTTACTGGAGCTTAAACTAACAAAGTGTAAATTCCAAATTATCGTATAGGAGGATTTTTCTAAAAGCATAAAGAAATTGTTTCTTTGCGAGACAAACCTAGGCGAGCTAATTCAGCTGTTATGCTATATATCAGCTATATATTATATACATATGTAAAAATTTTCCGCGACAAAATTTGCCGTAACATTTACAAATCTAGCCGCCATTTTTGGCGCCACTACAATGTAAACCCTAGAGGTGATTATCAAAAAATAATCACCTAGGTCTCGACCAATCAGCGCGCAGGATTTCCTATAATCACTCGGGCGATGATACTAATTGGTTTTAATTACGTTTTCCTCTCATGCACTAAGGTTTTAATTTAATGTTATATACCATAGTAGTCTTCGGTCTGCATACCATTTGCTGTTCAGCATTCTCCTATATCCCGGCAAACAATCACCCGTGACCGTCACGTGAGTGCTCTTCTCTGTCTCTCATCTCGTGGGTTCTTTACAGATTTCAGACTCCACAATAGCCTCGATCATACCATGGCTCATATTTGTTCATTATCTTCTTCAATCAGCCTGATTGAATAATGTTTGCCAGTAAACCGATTTTTTCTTTTAGATATATTGTTTTCCAGCAACGAATTAGGTTGGGATATTTGGTTGAGGTGTGTCTGTTTGATCATTTAAAAGAATATAAATAAAGAAAGGGGTGTAAATTTAACATATTCACTGTTATCAAAGCCATTTCTTTGTTGTCATTTGTCATCAATTTAGGCACCTGGTTGGATTTTAGAAGTAATGCTACCGGTACTGCTATATATATTATTATTCGGAAATGCGTAACATAAGAATTTGTCTTGGTTTCCAGGTTGCATACACCTTTGGTAGCACTGTAATCCCGTTACTGTGCGAGGAATTGTGCTGTTAAAAGTATGTGTGTAAGTGTGTGTGTGCATGCGTGTGCGAACTGCACTGAACTATTACTGGCACCACATGCTTTTGAATAGATTAGCAATTAGATAAAAAAGGGTCATTTTTCAACTCGGTATACAAAAATACTATTTATAATGTAACCCAGACTTGCAGTGCAAATTTAAATATACGGGGCCATGATCAAGAGGTATAGAAACGACCAAATATTGAAAGGTTCTCGCTGTTTATTATCAAAAATTATAGTTATTATTGTGCAACTTATGTGAGCATATTCCATTTTATTATGTTTATACTGTAATACACTGATAAGTGTTGTACAATGGCAAAGTTTTAAGTAGTAGATGTTTTACAACAATACTTCCAGAAATAGCAGAATTAGCTGAAAACGTTGCAACTGGTTTTTTCTTTCTGTATTACAGCTCTGTAATTTCTGAATACTGTAAAGGTTAATGCACGAATTATTAGCTGCAAGATAAATTGACTTGATTGTAAGGCAAGTGTTTGTAATTCTCATGAACATCAATAAAGACGTATTTTAAAACAAAACAACCCGTGCAAGCTCTTACATACCACCTGTGACATATTCTGACTACAATGTGCTGCCACATCTTTCGTAAGCACATAGTTTACCTGCGATATAGGCCTACTGTATAAAAACATTATTTTAATTAATTTTTTTAATTTTAATTATAAAAAAACGTACAGGCTTAACATTGTTATTAAGGATACTCGCCACCTTTTGCACGGTTATTGCTCTAATGGAGATTAAACGTTTATTGGCGAATGAATCGAATCAATCACTTGTTTTATAGTACTATAACAGTAGATGTTTCACATACGTTCACCCATTTTGCAAACGATCATCGATCATTGTGAAAAATAGGAAAACGCTGATTTCTCCGTTTAGATTTCTGACATAGTAGCCGATGTATAAATGGATATTTCTCTGTGATTACAACTCGGATTAGTTTAATTTTACTCGTTTTAATGGTAACATATTGCTGTAAAAAAAGTGCGTCAGGGATTGTTATTAAGTGCCGTATTTTATTAGTTATGCCTCTATTCGCTAAAATTTTCAATTCTAACAACTTGATTTTTAAGCAGTTTTTTCCATTTTTCTCGGTAAATATGAAACTTAAAGAAAAATCCTGACGCACTATTTTGGTCCAGATTGTGCTTAACATGTGGCAAAAATTTTGTATCCTCACTCTCTCTGGTAGTTGAGAAATATCCAAAATACCATTTTTACTTAAAAATTCAAAATTTTTGTGAAATTTCATGAAATTTTTTGGCTTGAGCATAGAGATATATCTCCTCTATAAATAAAACGGGCATCTCTATCCTTGAACCACTTACTGTGAGATATCCATGACTAACTGGCACCACTAAATTGGTAATATGTTTCATGCACCTTGAGAAATTGTAAGAACTTACGAGGTTACCACCGCACTGTCATGCAAAACGCGCGTACGATGTGTACTGCCCCCGGGGTACTGCCGGAAGGTACCCGAACCATATCAAATAGTGACCAGGGTACGTTCCGGCAGTACCCTGGGGGACATAGACCCTATGAGCGTTACTAAGCTATGTGTCAACAAACACGCGCCTAAATGCAAGGTGTGTAATAAGGGAAACGGGGCTATTTCAACTATCACTGGGAGATGACAGCTGTAGGAGGGTTGATGCTGAATGATACTGGCTTAGTGAATATCATGAAAATTCTGGTTGTATCATGTCTCTGACGTCATCAGTGACGTCAGCTGCTGCTCACTACAGCTAATAGGGTCTATGCCCCCCAGGGTACTGCCGGAACGTACCCTGGGTACGGTCCGGTATACCGGAACGTACCCTGGTAACTATCTAGCTGGTATGGTCAGGGTTAGGGTTAGTGTTAGGGTTAGGGTTAGAGTTAGGGTTATGGAGTAGGCGTAGGCGACTCCCTAGACTCGTTAGTGGAGTAGGCGAGGTACTGTCCGGCATATTAGATAGTAGTATTTAGTACCAGGGTGCGTTCCGCTATACCGGACCGTACACAGGGTACGTTCCGGCAGTACCCTGAGGGACATAGATCCTATCAGCCTCACTACACGTGTACGCGGGCAATCAAAACGCTCTAAAAGTTCACATGTACCGTTATATGGAGAAATTAGCATATACAGAGGTGGCACATAGTGTTAGCCATCGAATAAAGTCGAAAATGAAAAATCGGTAAAATTTTGCCTAAAACCTTGACATAGTATAACGGTCGACCTCTGACAACGCTGGTTTTCTCAGTCCACAATAACGTTTTGTTCGCGATCAGGCAATACACACACCCCCTCGCGCACGCATACACACCAAGGGGCACGCACGCACACGCGCACACACACACGCACGCATACACGCGCGCACGCACGCACGCACGCACGCACGCACGCACACACACACCAACTGCCAAGTTGCGCCTATTTTTGCTCACAGCTCTCGTATTCGCCGTCTCCAGCCAGCGATAGTAGCTAGCTGATAGATTGGATCATGAGTGTCTGATAATATGTGTACTCTATTACTACTGACTCTATTATAGATGTCTAGGTAGAGTGTATTATGACACTCCTGTTTCAATGTTAGCTTAGAACCTAGACTGCACTTCGATCGCTCCGATCGCACGTCGTTTTTGACAGTCCGAGACGCTGATAGTTTAGCGGCAGCCGATAACTTGTTATTTATCTATGTAGGGGTGAAAGAAAATAAAAATGTGTTTTTAATTCAGTGCTGATCTGTACGTTGTTCATGACCAATCTAAGAACACACACATAGAGATGCTCTATAGACGTGTCCACTACATCTCAGCTCTCCCCACGTCTCTCTCTCTCTCTCTCTCTCTCTCTCTCTCTCTCTCTCTCTCTCTCTCTCTCTCT